ATCTATATTTGAATAATGTTGCTTACTGCACTGATGAATGGTCATATCTTATGATTAATTTTTTGAAGGCATTAACTTTCGACTGAGTAGCTAGGACCTCTCTCAATCTGATTTTAATTTAGAGTATATAGGCTATCTATCTATCTATCTATATATATATATATATATATATATATTCTATATATATAGCTTCACAATAACACTTTTAGTAAAGAGTTCTATTATATCTGAAAAATGTTGAACTTAGAAGTTCAAATTTTTTTCAAGAGAAATCATCAAACCATCTTCACCAGAAATCCATCGCTTCAAGCCTTTCAAAATTAGTCTCTTTGATCAGCTCATTCCCACAACTTATGCCACAACTATCACATTCTACTCCTTGAGTGAAACCAACTTCACTAGTACCATGATCTTGACTCAGCTAAAGAGATCTCTTTCAGAGACCCTCAATGATTTGTATCCATTATCGGGTAGGATAAAAGATAACATGTTCATCGATCATTTCGATGAAGGTGTTCCATTTTTATCAGCTCGAGCCAATTGTCGCTTATCAGAGTTTCTCAAGCATTATGAAATTGAGTCATTGAACAAATTGCTCCCATGCTGAACAATGAGGTTCCACTCTTGGTTTGTCAAGTGACCATATTTGCTTGTTGTGGGATAGCATTAGGCCTTGGAATGTCTCACAAGATTACTGATGTGCAAACAGGTCTTCTTTGAGGTGATTTTTGGAGTACAATCTGTAGAGGATCCCATCATAATGTTGGATACCTAGTTTACCTGAGGCATCGTTGATCTTTCCAACAAGAAGTCCAATGCCACAGAATTACTTGTCAATGATGGAAAACTTCCGGTTCACCGCAGCTAATTACATTACAAAGAGATTCACATTTGATGCCAAAGTAATTGCCAAACTGAGGGCCATGGATAAACGGGAACATGAGGCTATACCATCACGGATTCAAGCTGTATCAGGTTTTATCTGGAAATGTTCTATGGCGGCATCTAAGGAGATATCAGGATCCCAAAAGCCATCTATATTAGTTCAAGCTGTGAGCCTGAGACCAAGAAGGAAGCTTAATATATTGGATAATTCCATTGGAAATCTCTTTTGGTGGGCAAGTTGTGCTACAAGTCTAGCTGAGACAGGCACAGAGTTGTCCGAATTTGTTGACTCGATGAGAGAATCCGTTGCGGCTTTCGATGACGAATACTTGAATTCTTTACAGGGTGAGCAAGGGTTGAATCCATAGCTGAGTATTTTAACCAGCTGGAAACCATGTTTTTGTCGGAAAAACCGGATATTTTTGGCTTCACCAGCTGGTGCAATCTTGGTTTTTACAAAGTAGATTTCGGATGAGGAACTCCACAATGGTTTGGTCTGTTTGGAAACGTCGGCACTGCATTCAGGAACCACACTGTTTTTGTTGAAACAAAGTGTGGCAAAGGAATTGAAGCTTGGATAACCTCAGATGAAAAGAGAATGTCAGTATTGGAAAAAGATCCTGAATTCGTGAAATTTGCTTCTCCAAGCCTGAAGATTTCAAGCCTGTGACTGTCAGTTAATTATAGTTTTTGCCACTTTGCTTAATATAAAGTATTAATCTGTTAAAATAATGGTCTAACTCTAGCTAGCAAGACTTCAGCAATTAGCATGAATCTTTCAGATAATTTTAAGCATTGTTGTCAACTATCTTCAACGCTCCTATTATCAGTAATAGTGTTTATAAATAGTTTTTATGTTCCATTGCATATTTATATCCACATTATGTCATTTATACATTTGATGAACGTGACTAAGGGGATTGATTTCATCCAAAATTGGGGATGATTTGAAAATCCCTTGTTTTCTTTTCATACTTTTTCAAAACAACCAATCATAAAGAATGGAAAGTGAAAAACAAAAAGGACCTTCTCTTGGTGTATACAGCATATTTTACTCTTTTTTGGGGTCATCAAACCTCATTCCACTATTGGTTGCAGTAAACAGTTGGTAGGCATTTGGGCTGTAAATGGCTTGAGCTGTGTATTATTTGAGATTTACGTGCTACTTTGCTTTGTACAAACACAGCTCAAAGAGTATTTTAATATTACTGTGCACATGAGAACTTTATTGACATCTTGACTTCCTGCCCCATGCTTGCTGTTCTCTGATCTTTTGAAAAAAAAGACAAGAAAGTTGTCATCGACATGGTACCGATGGTACCTTGAAAACTGGCTTCCTAGCTCTGCCGTTTGAAATCCCACTAGGTTATCCCTTTGTGCTTGATTTCATCATGTCATCCATGTTTCCAGAGAGGATCGTACACAAGGGAACATGAAACATTTTGCTTCTCATACATGGGATTTCGGAGGAAAGATGAACATTCCCACAGTTAAGAGTTTAAGATGTGTGGCTGGACTGGTGTTTCCTCCTGATGATTAGTTACGCCCCTTTTATTACAAGAAAAAGAAAATACTCAAATAAGCCTTGCAACTTTTACTAAAAATGAAAATAAGTTTATGATTTTTTATAGTATAAAATTAAGGCTATAATTTTTTTTATTGTAATTAAATTCTTGACAATATAGAATATTTAATTTTGTTAAAAGTTTTTAATTTAATAATTTAATTTATAAAAAATACCTACTTAGATTTATTTGAATGAATTTGAATTATAAATATTTGAAACAATGCTATTTTAAAAATGATTAATTAAATATTATTCATCCATTTTAAAGCTTTAATGGGTAGAATTACAATGAAATAAAAGATTATAATTTTAATTTCAAGTAATAAAAAGTTGAGAGCTTGTTTGTTTTATAAAATAAAGTTTGAAGATTTATTTGAGTACTAAAATTTTTTTAAAAAAAATCAACTTCATTTAACAATATTCATTTCCTATAAAGAAAGAAAAACCTAAATGAAAAGGCTGCAAAATCCGACCTGCCGGATTCGAACCAGCGACCTAAGGATAGCCATGAGGGAAGCCCACTACAGTCCTCCGCTCTACCAACTGAGCTAAGGTCGGCTTGTTGCGATTGATGACATTACAAATAATCAATTAAACGGAAATACAAGGAAAAAAACTACTGGTTCCTAGATAGAAACTCGCACTATGCCATGAAAATTATTAATGAAAGTAAATACATTATTTTTAATTTTTTATTCATAAAATACAAAAAATTATTCAAAAATTAAAAATATGTATCTCTACAATATCAATGAGTAAAGAATATAATAACATATAGTATTTGATATAAAAATTTAATTAGGAAATCAAAACTCAAATTAATTAAGAAGTAATATAATCAAAAGCAACTATCTCTGGATAATCGTCTACTTCCTAGCATGTGCATATTTTGCTAAACAGTAAAAATGCAAATATATTAACCCACAAAAAGAATACATAAATAAAGAATAAAGAATCAATGGAAAGTCAAATTTACCAAATTTAGTATATAACAATTTTATAGTTCAAAAAAAAATTGAAAAAAGAAATCTAAACGTGTTAAATTATTGATGAAGAAGATATTAAAAGAAAAGAAAATTTTGCACAAATTTTGGTTGATAATAAATAATGATAGAAAACATAATTTTGAGGGATGGACAAATGCAAAGGCTCCAATGATTTCACTTCACTTGCATAGAAGTTTATTTTAATGTTGTTAACTCGATGCGAAGGTGATTGTATTAATCGGTATATTTTAATTATATCAAAATATGATACATTTAAAAATAATTTTTTATATTAAATTTAATATTAAATAATATAATTTTATTTTCATTGATTTTGATAAATTTTAATAAATTAGTTTATTTTAGTTGATATGTAAATATAAATTTTTTTTATAATTTATAATTTATTTTTATTATTTGACTATTTTAACTTTTTTCATTGTTTGTAAAATAGCAAAAGGCTAAAATGAACTGCATCTCTTTTTAGGCATTACAGGAAGAGGTGATACCGGAGGGTGCTGATGATGATGAGGAAGAGTTGGAACAGATAAGGATACTACTATCATAAACATTTAATTTTAGGAGTGTTCACAATTCGGTTTTGATTAAATTAATCGATCAAAGCTATTTACTTCAATTAATCAATCAATTATTGAATTAATTTTTATTGATTAATGAAAATAATTTTAGAAAAATTTCAATTTTCGTTTAATTCGATTTAAAAACCTCAATTAACCAAAATCTTACCTGAAATATAATATAATCCAATATAATATGAAAAATATATGAAATAAATCATTTAATTTTATAAGTTGGTAGAGTTTTTAACATAATATTTTGGTGTTTGAATATTTAGTTGAATAATTTTATTTAATTTATTTAAAATATGAGAAATTAATAGCTTAAAATATAATTTAATTTAAATGTATTTATTATTAGGTTAACGAAAAAATTAATTGAACCTACTAAATTAAATTTAGTCGATTAATTTTTAAAATTTATAAATTTAATTTGATTAATAAAAATAAAATAATATAATTATGTTAATTAAATTTTAGATAATTCAATTCAAAATTAATTGAACCAACGAAAAAATACTCCTATTTAGTTTTGTTTTGGTGTTAGTATTGAAAAGCGTTTAATATATATAACAATTAAAACCATTTTCAACCGTCTTTTTCCTAATAAAGAAAAATATGCAGTTGTATTTTGCAGATTGGATTTTAAAAAGTTAAAAACTTATTTAATTAATTTCTTTTAAAAAAACTGAAATAATTTATTTTTAATAATTTAAAATAATTTAATTAAAATATGCTCCGTGGATTCGATAACAAAAATTAAATTTGAACAATAATTTTATAAAAAATTTATTTAATAAAATTTCTTTTATAATTTTCTAACAAAAAAAACTCTTATAATTTTAAATCAAGATCCGTCAATTTAATTGATTTAATTATTAATTTTAAAAATTAAAAACCAATCAAATTAATCATTTAATATTTTACTTAATCAATCATTACTAAAATCAAATTAACTGATCCGATTTTATCAAATTGAATCTATTTATATCGATCATTATCAGTTGAAAACGATTTATTCTCACATTTTTCTATTGTAACTATTTGATATTTCTAAACTCCATGTTTTAACTAAAATTTAACGGAATGGTGGGCAAACGAATACATTTCTTGAAAAATTTCATTGTGGGTTCAGAATAGAAGATTTTTGGGATTGAAGCGATTTTTTGTATGAGTTTTTCTTTTTTTTTCTTTGGGAAAAATTTCTACACTGACAATTTCATATCAAATGTAAACCTCTAAAATACAATTCAACCAATAAGCTCATTTATATAAGTAAAACACTCTTCCTCGCTTAAAAAACGATTCCCTCCAAAATCCATTAGAATGTCTTCAACGAACTCCATTCTGTCAATCCAGCTATAATCTGCCTCCTTCATAGACTCATCTTCAGGTTTTGCCTCTGTATTCACTTCAGCTTTGACATCACTCGCATCTTGAATTTCATCCCCTGCCAAAATCATTGCGACACTGGTCGATGGGGCTTCTGAATCAACAGGAAGAAGCTGAGCGTTTATCCTTGTTGTTTCACTTTCACCACCCACATATTTGTGACAAATTTCAGAGTTGATTGATGCAGCAGCAGCAATGGAGTCAGAACCAGTACAAGTAGTAGTAGCCTCCGAAATATCCGAAACATGAGGCATATTCAAGATTGCATTCTCACCATACATCATCCTGGCAGCTTTATCATAAGCTAAAGCAGCTTCAAAAGCAGTAGGAAAAGTACCAAGCCAAAGTCTCTTCCCTCCGTTAGGCGCTCGGATTTCAGCCACCCATTTACCCCAAGTCCTCTGCCTAACACCTCTGTAGTTACACTTCTGATTTTGAGGCCCTCCTTTCCCTTTCATACACCCCTTCTTCGAGCCCTTGGCAGGCGCTTTACTGGCTTGTTTGGCCTCAGGATTTTCACTCCAGAGCTTGAGAGTATCATCAACTGATAAACCATCTCGTCTCTTCTTTTTTCTTGTGGAATCTAAAGACAGAGATGAACCCACCTTTGGATTTTGATCACCAACAAAACCCATGTCTTCAATTTCTCCAAATTTATATCAATGGAAGAATTTGCAAGCAACAATGCAGTAAATAAAGAAATAAGGTATTTGAAATCCTCTTGATAATTACAAGTTAAAAATAGAGCAACTCAGACGGCTTTCAAACCCAAGAATCTGCATTTGGAATTAAACAAAAAAACTATCAATATCGAAAATAACCTCTAGTAATGAAAAGAAACAGAACAAGCAAAACCAAAACCGAACATTTCTTTTTATTTTCTTGGAAAACAAGTAAGAAAGAAACTTACAGCACCAAACTAAACCCCAAACTTAAACCCCCAAAATCTAACAACAAAACTCAAACAACCCTAAAACTAAAACCAAAAAAATGAAAAGAGAGTAAAAGGAAAGAGAAATAAAGTAACTAAAAACGAACCTGTCCAAAAAAAAAAAAAGAGCCAGAAGGATCAAGAAGACAAGATCGTTCCTTCTTGAGCTTTTTCTCTATTAACCTACGACACTGGATTTCTAATTTCCTGGAAAAAAATTTTGGGGTTTTGTTTTTTTGTTTTGTATTCTCAAAGAGAACTCTACTTTTGTAGTTTCCGGAAACAGAGAGCCAGAAACAAAGTAATGTGGAAGAGAAGAGTGGAAGACGTGTCGGAGATGTCTCAGAGGATATTTAAATATTTCTGTTCTGAGATTTTTATTTTTTTATTTTTTTTATAACTTTTGTAGATGACGTGGCAGATTTAATGTCTTTAGGATGCTTCGTCACCAGGAGACATCTGCCACGTTTCACCCAAATCTCTTCAAACCTATCTAGTTATCCTAGTTTACTTGGTATCGAAGGAATTATGAAGGATTTGGTTTTCTTTTTTGCTCTCTTCATCAATTTCGAATTTGCCACTAGCTAGCAGATATTAGACTTTGACTGTTAGTTAGCTGGGGATGGACTTTTTCGTTACAAAATAATATGGGTCAGACCGACCAAAGAAGAAAACACGGGGCTTCTAAGTAGTCACCAATTTTTTTTTTTCAAAAATATTCATATATCAAGTATCAATTTTACCCTTTAATGAATAATAAAAACATTCTCAATAACTTTATACTTAAAAATCATCTCATATTTTTTAAAAATAAATTTTCGAGTGTTAAATTATGTTCTTAAAAACTCATTTTGAAGAAAATAACATAATTATCGAAAATAAATTATTGTAAACAAAACGTATTTCTTAAAAATTTATTTCCAAGACTTACATTATTTTATCAAAAATAGATTTATGAGAATACAGTATAACTCTAGGAAATTTATTTTTAAGAATACATAATTCTTTTTTTAAAAATTATTTAATTATAAACGTTGATAATAAGAAAATTAAAATCTTTAATATTAAGGTTACTGAAAAATATCATTAATAAGTTGATAAATCTGACAGTAAGAATTGGTGATCGAAAAATTAGGTAATGTCAAAATTGTCAATCTGCTATTGATATTATTAGCATAGGCTGTTCAAAATTTGACATATGAAATATATAAATCCAATAGTAAAAACCTTTAATCATCGACCAAGTATTGTCTGATAAATAATGGTCACAATATTTATCCAATTCTAACAAACGTGTATTTGAAAGAAATCGTTACTTGCGAAGAGCACTTGTGCAAGTGGTTATTGCACCATGTGCAATGAGGAAGTCATGTTCCATCGTACATGTACAGTAACTAATTTACACGAGTGTTTTTTCACTTTTAGTAATTTCTCTCAAATGCACATCTATTAAAATTTATAAAAATATTACAAATATTATTGAACCGTTAATACTTAGTGACCAAAAGATTAAAGGTCCCTATTGATGGATTTATCTTACCTAAAAAATTAAGAACTCCGAGCTTCTCGAATATGGAGATCCGAGAAACCTCATATCTTTTTGGATATTTATTTTTGAAAAAACTTTGAGTCTTCTTAAAAATAAATATCTAAGAAGATATGAAATTTTTTGAAAATAAATATTTGAAAAGTTTTGAGCTCTTCGAAAATGAATATCTAAGAATTTTTAAAATTTCTTGAATATCTATTTTCGAAAAATTTCAAAACTTCTTGAATATTTATTTCTTAAAAAGTCGATTTCAGGAATTGAAGTGAGAAAAAGAGAAAAATGGTAGGAATAAAAAATAAAAATTAAGGAATGAGGTATATTTAGTAAAAATAAGAAAATAAAAATTAAATTTTAGAGGTATATATAAAAGTGGGATGGGTATAACATTAACTGAGGTGCATTTAGAATTCCCAAAAAATGGCTAGCAAGGCCAAGTAAATTTAGCTGGATATTTTTTTGTTCCCGGCCCAAATCTTAACTGAAAATTACTAATTCTGCATATCAAATTTAACCTTTATTTTTTTTAATGAAGATGGTTTAAAAGCCAAATTTATTACTCTACTTAGCTTTGTGATCAAATTTTACCATTGATTTTTTGAAATGGTGCAATTTTAATATTATATTCATACCTGGACTTAATATCAGACAAACAATAATGAACACCAAAAGAACATTTTAAATTTGAAATTAATTCAGTTGGTTCATGAATTTAGTTGATTCATAAAATTATTTTTAAAAAATTATATTCAATAAATATGATATTCAAATTTTAAAATTAAGATTTACTTAGTAAATAAATATAATATATATATATATATCATAACCCTTATTTTTATTAATTTTGTCATTTTGTATTTATTATAAAAAATGTTGTATTAAAAACCAACTTACTTAAAAATGACTTATAAAATTTGCCCAAAGAAAAGTAAAGCAATAAATTTGGCCTTTTACCCTTATTATTATAGGGTCAGGCCTTTTATGAATAATTCGTATTTACATTATAGAGTGAGACTTTTTTATGAATAATTGTGGGATTTTGTAAAGAAAATAAATGGTAAAAAGTTAAATCATAAACGATTTGATAAATTATTAAAACATAAAATACCAATTATAACATAATTAATTTATAGAAATTTCATCTTATTTGTACATTCAAAGATTCAGCTATTTAGGCATTAATCAAAGGGCAAGGGTGAAAAATAAAATAATAAATTAAAAAAACTTTTTATAGAAAATTCTTCTTATTTGTAAGTTACATAAGAATGGCTGCAAAATTTCCTATGAAATCCTTGATGAGAAAACCACAAAAGTTTTGAGTGTTAATGTGTTATTGGAAACAAAATTTGGGCCACTTTATATACAAGAATACTGGCTAAATTTTCACAAAATTCTTATTCTGATCACTGAACTTCAATTTGTTGAAAATAATTCACTAAAAATACAACAATTTATTGGAACCTTCATCTGCTGGCATGAGAGAAAAAGATCTTAAATAATCAGCACAAAATAAAACAAAAAATGATACTGAAATTCGAAAAACATTGCATTGCTGAGTCGAAACTAAATCTAAAGGCCATTAAACTGAAACTTGTCTAGCTCAAGTGCCAATTAAAACTCATCCAAATTGAACTTAAGATTACAAAGTAACAAAGTTACAAAGCTCAATATCCGATTCCTAATCTTTCTTAATCATTTCCACTGCAATGTAAACGTTCTCTGATGAATGGCACATTTCCAAGCCTCAGTCCCATTCCTCTCAAAGTTTGCATTCACCTTTTCCAAATTACCAAACACTATTCTCCCTGCCGCCCAACACCCATCAACAAGCCTTTGTCACCAAAGCCACGAACCAGCAAACCCCTCCAATGAAATCTGGCCTCCACCCCATATGCCGCCGATGCCATTTCATGACTGCCTACTCCCATCCTCTCAACCTTCTGATCTCTCCTTTCCCTTGGCCTAACAATTCACCAGTCCACCCTCCACATTTTAACACCTACACATCTCCACTTAACCCTCCTCCTTTTTGTTATACACTTCCTTTTTTTACTGATCTGTTATCATCTCTTTCTAACCCCTCTCTCACAGACGACCAATTCCTCAATCCACATCCCCTGTTCCCCTTTCATTGGTACTAAAAAAGTTTAGGATTAGGAGAAGCTTTCCCATTTCAGGGCCAGGACACATCATAGGTTTTAGGGATAACTTACATTGGATTTACAAATTACCCACCTAACCACCTAGGAGAATTGTTGGCAGTGGGACTCGAATCTAAACCTTACAAGCGAAGTATTTGAATCTTACCAACTTAGCTAACACCGTTGGCCCTGTTCCCTTTTCCAATCTCCATATCTCCTCCCTCCCTCCATCTATAGTCCTCTCACTCAGTCTCTAACTCTCTAAAACCAACAGCACCCCCCCCCCCCCTCTCAATAGATCAGTAAACTGCCACTACATCAATAGCAGAAAAAACAAAAGCTAGAGGAAAAGTGGAGTCTGTCAAGGGAAAAATAAAAAAAGCAATGAAAAAGAAATAGATGAACAGACACTCACATAGCAGTTAAAAACAATGTCAGGCAAATTACATAGCTTTGTATTGTATCCTAAAAGGACAGAAGATTCAACATGCGTATTACAAAACAGAGCTATGAAGCATACCTTTAGTCCTGACTCCTGATGCTGGAATTCTTGGACAAACTCAACTAAGCAGTAAGCAGAAATAAATTTTGGAAAGTTGGGTTATCTCATCTTATGTCATCAATCAGTAGAAAACGATTTTATAAGCAGATAATCTCTCAAGTCATCCCGAAACATTAGGGAAACATCAATCCAGTTCAGCAGTAACTTAGCGGTTAAGTTCATCTTTAGCTATCAAATTTAATTAATCATATTAATTTAATTTCATGAAAATTTATTCATTACATCAATAATTAACTGTCAGAAAAACATACTCAAAACAAAATCAGGTGCAGCTGCTGCTGGGTCTGCAGACATCCTTGGAAGAATCATGGCCGTTGGATGGATGGCGATGATGATGTTGATGTTGATGATGATGATGATCATGGTCGTCATCATCACTGTCGTCTTCGTCGAAAGGCTTTTCTTTATGGAAAACGCAACAGATCTTGGAACTTTTCTTGTTCATGAACTCGTTGTCTACGGTTCCTTTTTCCCACGTTACTTTCTTTTTCCTAGGGCGGAGTTCGAGGACGAGGGTTTCTTGAGGTCGCGACGAGGAGAAGGACCCCGAGGAGTTCTCGATCGTCACGGTGGTGGTCACGGAGGAGGTTGATGATGATGATGATCTGCTTGTTGTGCTCGTTGCCGTCGGTCGAGCCATCGCTGGAGATTATCGCCGTTCAATTTCTATAATATATAGATTTTTTTTTTAATGAAACCGGCGTTCTGTTTAAATGAGTCATTGAATTGCAATATAAAGGGCTTTTTTTGTTATTTTAATCAGACGCGCGTGCAGCACACGACTCTTCGTTTTTGTTTTAATTCTCAATTTTTAATCAACGAAAAAGTTTTAATTGAGATAACAAAAGACTAAAATTTATTCTCTGGCACAGCTGGTGAAGAACAATAACAAATTATATTTGGGTATTAAGCTAAAATTCAATAATTTTAACTCGAAATTATTTGAGTTGAAATAATTCAATTGTGGAATATAGAAATACAAATTTGAAATAATTTAAATTTTTTATTCAAAATAAGACCCAAAATATCCAAGCCAAGCCTCCCAATTTACCAACTCTCTAATTGCACTGGATTTAATTTTGCACTCAAATATTCAAAATTAATTATAATTTAAAAATCTAAATTTATTTGCTTCACCAATCTTGACATGGATGGTGCTGCCAAGCTTTAACTATTGCAGGTGAAATTCAAAAACTCAAATTAATTTTATAGTAAATAATTTTTAATATATAAATTAATATTTAATACACTATCAATATAAATTTTTAATTTTATATATTAGATTAAAAAGTTGACACATTTCATTTCTTTTTTAATTAATTTTTTTATTTTTTAAATATACTTCTTAAGAAATTTGTTACCTTATTAATCCAACTTGTAGAACCTTATTATTCTCACCGTGGAGTGTTTAGGTTCCGCTTATGAATAATTTCTCAACTTCATATATATATATATATAATATATATATATATAATATAACTCTTCAGCAAAAACTTATTAAACAAAAATCAATGTATTTATTTATTAACCAAAAAACTTATTAAACATACGCTCAACCAGCTACATAAAGAAGAAGAAGCCAAGAAAAGTACAAATTCCTTGATTCCTTTTTGTAGGTAATCTTCAAAAAAAAAACCAAGATAACCAGGATTCTATTGCATCCACATGCAAATATTTACAGGCATTCAAAGAAACTCTTTTTTTGGAGGGAGGGGGTTGATGCAGAAACAATGGAGATGCCTTACTATGGTTATTCCCATTCTAAGGCCAACTACATTGAATGCAACCAGTGAGAGTGATGGAAATCACATCTCAGCAACCAGTTTCTCTGAACCAGAAGCTTCAGCTAGTGAACCCTTAGTCCACCTTTTCAACATCTCTAATGCTGCCTTGGGCTGGTCCATCGGAACCATGTGACCCGCATCATGAACCTGTTAGATCATCAGACAGCTATTTCAGCATACTGCAAACTATTCGATATAGCTAGATTAAAGACACAGATAACATTGGTAGAGTCGTAGAGAGGACCTTAAGGAAACCAAGCGGTCCATGAGTTTTCAGGACTCCAGCTTCTGAACCATTAACTACAAAAGGAACCTCGGGTGATGCTACAAACTCCTTCTGACCAGACCATTGCATTGCATGAACCCATCTTGAATTGCCTGTTCACGTACAGTAACATGACCACATACAAATTAACAAAGAAATTAGCTAGATGTATCTGGTATAATATGCGCTTATCCCTAACTCATGAAACAGAAAGTACTTACCAAGCCAGTTGCAGATGAGATCATATTCCCCAGCATATACAAGAAGCTTTATTCCATCCTCAAGGAGAGCAGGAATGCCAACTTCGAGATTCCGCATCCAGTCGACCATCATGGCCTGATACACTGTAGGGCTGCAGGACACAAAGTCTATATTCCCAACACCAAGGGCATCCCTAACAGATTTCTTGTTCAGAAATGTTTCCATGTTTGAGAAGTCGTAGCAAAGGCTCCCCTCGCATTTCTTTCTAATATCATAGTACTGCAAACAGAAAACATCGGGGCATTTCAAATTTTATACAAAAAATCATAAGGCATCAAGACGCAGATGACTTCTCAACAGCTTATTCACAGCAAAGAGTTTGTTCTTAGTACATGGTTTAACAATGGGAAAAAATTTTCTACATATCCTTTGCTCATAAAGAAAAAATTCTGAAGAAAGAAGAATATCAATGAAATGAAGACCAATTTCAGGCCTTACTCTATCGTTAATAAACTGTTTTTCTTTCTCTTTTCTAATCAGGCAAATTACATTGTTTGCACAAAAACTTTTCTCCAGATCTTTTATACAAAGTTTGATAATGCCAGGAAAAGAAGCACATTCTACTACACAGGATATTAAAGCCAAAACAAGAAAGACCACAACCGTTTATGCAAATAATTCACAAAATGTATTTCTAAGCATTAAAAGGTAATTTCAACGTGTTACTTGAGCAAAGCAAATAACTGAATAAATAATAAAGTAAAAAAATTGACAAGCCATGGCTCTCCCTGAACAAGATACCAATTAAAATTAAGAAAAAAAAAAATCATCTTACATTTGTATCACCAGCAAGTGCCATGATGCCATTGAATATGGTATTGCAGACAAAATAAGAAGCCATGCAAGAGATTGTACCATCAGTGCCTGAAAAAAAATTAAAAAAAAAAAAACAGAAAGAAAAATCATTGAGGAGATAAGCAGAAATGATTCAATCTGTTATATATCTTTTAAATTATAATGCAAAATTAAAAAGAAAAAAAGCATCAAATAATATATCAAGGCTTTGAATTTTGAAACAACAGAGGTAAAAATGTAGAGAATGATCATAAGAAAGAGGAAGCCATTTCAGATGAAAAATTACCGCAAAGCTTTATTCCCATTTCACAAACTGGAACCAGCTTGTTGATACGATCATAGTCAGTTTTCTTAATTACCCCCATGTCCAAAGCATAATCTGTGTAAGCTTTATACTGGATTGCAGGGTCAGTCAGGCCATTTCCAATAGCGAATCCCTGTTAACCGCAACGTAGTTGAAGTAAGCAAAGTGAATTGATTCCAAACAAGTTGTAAATTTGAGAAATTACTAAAATAAAATGTAGAAGCTTGACATCATATAATGAGTAACACACCTTTAGGTTTATATGAATTCCATCTTTAGCTTTGTTTCCTCGGTAGACTCGGGCAGCAAAAGCTGGAATGTAGTGCCCAGCATATGATTCTCCAGTTATATAAAAGCCATTCTCTGAAAACTCAGGGTGTTCTGCAAAGAATGCCTAACATAATGAAAAGAGCCCAGTCAAAACAACAAATGTATTCATTTTTCCCCAACATAATGAATTACGCTTATTCACTTTTAACAATATTGAGAATAATAGTTCAGTGAACAGTAAATAATTATGCTAAATTCCTCCTCTTCCAAAATAAGATGCAATGGTAAACAGACTAACCTGTAAGAAGTCATATAGGTCATTGCTAACTTCTTCTTCATTATGACGAATGTCCCTTCTGTCAGAACTATAACTAAAGCCGGTACCAATAGGTTGGTCCACATATAGAAGGTTTGACGCCTAAACACAACCAAGAAAGAGGAAAGATGAAAAGACGTACATCAATATTAGCATCTAGAACTTAAAACTTTGTAATATTACATAGTTTCAGAAAGATAAGAAATTAATTGTAATTCAAGGTGATAATTAATTGGCCAAACGCCAAAGAAGGAAGAATATCAAAAAGACAAGTACCTTGTCCCAACCAAACTCATTCCAGACAAGAGACATGTTATCAGAAATGGTGAAAGGGCCATTTTCATAAAACAAAGCCAATTCACTACTACACCCTGGCCCTCCAGTCAACCAGATTACAACAGGGTCCTTTTTGCTATTGCGTGATTCAAAGAAGAAGTAGAACATTCTGCCAAAAACAGAAATTGAAAAGGGAAATATAAGTAATATTTAGAGGGTGAAAAGCAAGGGACAGATCTACCAAGTAAGCACTTTAGAAATTATGATAAACCCACTGGAAAGGTAGTTAATAATTTTTTTCATTCATTTCAGAAAAATAATTGAAAACTAGGAAAAAAAATCATTGACCGTATAAACTGATAATAGAACATGAAATGAAGAATGTATGTACAGTTTTAAGGTTTAATTAATCTAGTAGCGTGACAGGAAAGCTTCAATCTGGAAAACATGATCGAAAAATACGATTCTTAAACTAATAAATCCAGTGATTGTCTTGTACATGCAGATAATATTTAAAAAAAAAAAAAAAACAAAAGCAAATACCAATGGCAACCATTAACCTCCATAAAACATGTAAAATCACCAAATTCACTGACTAAAACATTAACTGCACAGACATTTATGCAAGACTAGGGTGTTTGAGAATAGAAAGGAAACAGTTTTAAGAAAATTCAAAAAAAAAAAAAAAAAAGAAGTGTTTTGATTTTACCAAGCATCGGGAGAATTTACATACAGAACTTCACCCAGAAACCGAATACATTCAAGGATTTTGAGATTTAACCCGAGAGGCCAAATGAAATTATCGAAAAACAAAGACACTTTGAAAAGTTTCATAATTTAATTTTAACCATGAATAATAGGAATCAAGCAAAAATTTTGCCTAATTCCCCACAAAAAAAAATTTCCAATTAAAAATCCAAAATTTCACCTATAAAAGAGAATAATCACCTCATTCTCCAATTCATCGGTTTGAAACTTTGAATTATTAAATCCCAAAAACCTACAATGCCATCTAAAAGCTAAGTAATCACCTCATTAACCAATTAATATAAAAAAATAACTACAATTCAAGGGCGTTTAAAATCTCCCCATGAAGCCAAGCATTTAACTCAGTGATTGGTGCTTGATCCCCTACTCAAAAAGCATCGTTCGAATCTACCCCTTCCCGAATCAAAGGAAAAAAAAAACCTCATTAAAATCAAAAAAGAAAGAAAGAATAAAAAAAAAATCCAAATACCTGCCATCATGAGAATTAGCAAGCTGATAATACCCAGCATGGTGACCCAAATCCTCAACGGAAACCCCACCAGGTGCTTCAAAATTCGGGAACTTGAACCGCTTCTCCACCAGCTTCGAACCCTCCGGTAACGAAAGTCGGCCTTCTTCAACGACGTTGACTTCCTCTTTAGGAAACAAATTCAACTCCCTTATCAACTTCTTTGCATGCACAGATGGAAAACTCGATCCGGCGAGATGTAGGTCTTCTAGTACGGGGGAAGCGGCAGCGGAATACGAAATGAGAAAAAGAAGGGACAAGCAAAATAGACATAAAATTTTCGGTTTCGCCATTTTTGGGGTTTTTTTCTATCTGAGAGAAGTGAAAAGAAATCGTAGGAGAAATGAAAATTTATATAGGGAGAGAAAGAGAGAGAAAAAAAAAAAAAAACCAAAAAACACAAAGTTCCGATAACTGACGGTCTGATTTAATGGGGAATAGTCGTTGGATTTATCGGAGATTTGAACTTTGAAAAGGATTTTTTTTTTGGACATAAGTGTAAATTAATTAAACTCACTTTATACAAAAGCTATATTTATATACGCGTGAAATTAAAGATAATAATAAAATTTATTATAGTTAAGATTAAAAAAATATTATAATTATAATTAAAAAAAAAATAAATTTATATTAATTTAGTTTTATTAAAATTTATATTTAAATTTAATTAAAAATATACAAATTTAATTTTATCATATTAAAAATACGATAAAATTCAAACGATTATTAATTTATTTTTAATTTAGAGTGAAATAATAAAATAAATTGATATGGTAAATTAAATCATTTTTACCATATTAATTATATATTCAATTAACCAAGTAAAATCACTCCTTCAAATTTTTTATGTACTTATATTTATTTTAATTGATTCATTCAATTATTATTTAAATATAATATTTAATAATTTGTGAATTAAAAAAGATTCTAATTAACATGAATCATGCATACACAATTAAATTAAACATTCAAATATAAAAAATTTGAATTTTTTTAAATAAAAAAATTGATATCAATAGATATGGATTTAAAAAATTTATCCTACTAATGAAAAATGTGACTTTGTGTGTTAATATATCAATTTTTTATATTGGTTAGATTTATTTATAGTTAATAACATAAAATTTTTTAATAATTTTTTTGATTGAGGGTTTTTTTAAAATAAGTTACTGAATTTTAAATTTATTAAATAATGTTATATTTAAAAAATTTATTTTATCATGTCATCATTTAAAATTATTTATATTAAAAATAAATATTATATTAATTAATAAATTTATAATTTAATTATTATATTAATTATATTTAAAATTTAAATATTTTATTATAATTTAAGAATTATTTTTAATATTAATTTTTATTTCTTTTAATTCGGATTGTCACTGTCGCTTCAGATTGCGGGGTGAAGGAAGGAAAAGGAAATGAGGAGAGATTACGTGTAAAGAGGCCCACCGTTAGAGCAAGAGTGCACGCCACATGATTTTCGGTTCTCTTTCATATCTCTTTCTTTCATCATTCTTTTTTGTACAACTCTTTTAATTCCTTTGTTTTAAATTAAAATTGTTAATCAATTCAAATTCTCTTGTAAAGTTAGATAATAAGATTGATTTTCGGAAGTTGGTGAAAAGAATGCAATACTAAATTTTAAGCTAACCAAACTTAATACCATTAATTAATTACTATTCAACTAATAAATATAAGAAGTTATCTAATATAATTAAAGATGTTATCATATGATCAAAATTAAAAAAAAAATTCATAATTTAAACTTTTTGGTCCATAAATTTTACCTAGGTTTTGTCCCATTTTAAAATCCCATTTGGCATTTGCAATCGAAAATAATCTTAATAAAATCCATAGTTATTTTTTACAATGGAATATAAATACATCATAATTATAAATTTTAATCATCATTATGATTAATTCGAGATCATTTAGTTTTGCTAAGATAAGATTAGAAGAGAAACCTTAGGTACAGACATAATTTAAATGCTAATCTTGAAGATCAATCCCTCTAAGATTTAGTTTAGCATTGTTGTAGTTGTAAAAAATTTAATTTAAAAAAAGGTGCTTAAAAATTATTATAAAAAACAATATTTAAAATTTTTAAGTGTTTAATATTATTATAAAAAATGGCTATAAAAAATAAAATATTTAAAAAAATGATGCAAGAAAGATAAAATAATTATTTTTATTTAATTATTTTATTCCGAAATCATAAATTTCAAATCATAACTTCACTTCTTAATTAATTTTTACAATTTGGTTGCTTTTAATTGTAAAAAAATATTTTTATATCATAGTGTATTTAATATTGCATTTATATTCAAAAACTATATTTTTGAAATCCAAACTTAATATTAAATTTTAATTTGACACATGTGACGATAACCACGATTTGAAACAGACGTTAAATCTTTTAACCTAATGTCCTCCATTAGAATTCATATTTATCTATAAAAAATGGTTTAAAGAAATGGTTGGTAGTGAACTATTCCATCATCGTCAATATGAGACATGGCAGCTATAAATCAAGATAGTATCTAATCAAGCTCATTTTTAGAAACAATAGGAATAATAGTTTTCAAAGAAGTATATATGGGAACACATTTTGAGATGACAATTGAATAAATCAAATTGGATTTGAATTGATTTTAAATAAAAAAATTGAATAAATTTATGTTCGAGTTGAATGATTTCAGATTATTAATTTCTTTTGTAATAAAATCGAATTAAATTAAATTTAAATTTGTACAATCTTTTTAGATTGGAATAAATTTTACTAGCTCTAATAGCACTCTAAAGATTTCAACTCTAATGCGTGGGATAAAAGCAGAGGGAAAAATCTAAAGGTTGGTGCTGATGTCCAATGTAAAGGGAGAAAGTGGATACCAATATTCTTGAAAATGAAATGATCTTCAAAATGAAGAAAGAAAAAAAAAATCCCTAGCCCTTGTTTCTTCTTTCATCGATATCGACGTTGATGTATAATCAATACAAATTAGAGGTTGTTTTCCGCTTCTTGACATAAAAAACCTTTAAGAAAGATATTAGAGTTTAAGTTTGAATCAAGCCATATTCTCTCACTTTTCTTGTAATAGGTTGTCCTCTTTTGAATAAAAAAAAATACCAATTAAAGGCTAAAAATTCATTTGAATTTATAACATATGTTTGACTGGATTTTACATTAAAAAATATTTGTTTCATATTCATTCAATTCATATAATTAAAGGTGAATAAAAGTCAGTTTGAATTGATTAGATCGATCAAGATCAAGCGAAATTCATTAATCTGGTTCGGTCTATTTGATTTTTAGTTATAATTGGTTTTTTGGATTGGTTAAATTAGTTAATTTAGTTAATTTTCAATTCTTAAAATTAATAAATTGAATTAATCGACTTATAATAAATAATGATAAAAAATTTGAGATGAGTATTTTTTTTTTTTTTTGTAAAATATTGTTGAAATTATTTTTTTAATGATTTAATTTGAATAATACATGATTTTGAATTTTATTTGATTGAATTTGTGACTAAATAATTATTTAAAATAAAAGAAAAAATGATAAAAAAATTTGATTATTAATCAAAATGATCGAACTAAACTAATTTTAGTCGACTCAATTATGATTAATTATTTAAAAATTTTAAGTTGATTTAATTATTTATTAAATTAAAATTGATTAATTTGGTTATTTATTTTTTTTAAATTGAATGATCAAATCAATCAATTGCTCACGCTTATATATATATATATATATATATAATTTAGATTGAACAATTGTGACTGCATTTAAAATTTTTTTTTTATTTCACACTTAGCATTTCATTTTACTTGTTTCATAGGAGAAACCCACCCACCATTGACCCCATTCGGAACCATGATCTATTGTTCATGTTAATTACAATTTGCTTAGGACCCACCCAAGCTTTGTCTGAGTGGTAAGTAAGAATTTTCGAATCTTGATATTCCAAATTCATGTTTCATTATAAGTGAATTTGATTTTAATTTATATTGAATTTATTTAATTATATGTCGGTTAGTTGATTGATTTATTTATTTGATTTAATTCATTTATTATGAATATATTATTTAATTATTTATTTTTTATATAAAAGAGAGCTAAAAAGCCTTATTAAACTCTAAATTGAACCAATCTCTAATTCATCATAATCCAACAAATTAACTAAACTCCACATAAAGTCCAATGACATCAAAGATGGTGAAAAAAAAAAAAAACAAGTTTTTTCACACAATTTGAACTTGCATATCTTTCATGAGTTAATATTATACACAATCAATCAACCATAGTGATATTTTATTAATGAGTTCAACAAAAAAAAATTATATTTGATGCAATATCAATATATGAAATTTATATATTGTTAGTGAATCGGAAATATTATTTTATTAATGAGTTAATTTTTAAAAAATTAATTTTTTGTATAATTATTTTAAAATTGATATTTATATAATTTGATTTACTGACAGTATATCAAATATAAATTTTAAATAAAAAATAATCAAATGCTAACTCATTTGTTACGAGATAGCCTTGTTGAGTGCAACTATCAAACAAAAAGAGGGATAAAACAAAAGAATGAAAACCTAACATTGAAGGTGGAAACTATATTTTGCTTGAACGTTTCTGTTTCTTGTTGGTCATGTCATGGCCTATACTCATTCTATATTAGAACATAATTTGTGCAGTAATGTGGACATTGAAACATGTCATGAAATTCATTATTGCAACTGTTTCTTGCACTGCTTTCCTTCTCAATGCCAGGAGAACAAGAAACCTCGGTGCCCTTCCTTAAACCTATTATGAGTTTAACGGGCTTGGCAAACGAATACACCATAATTTGAGAAGCCATATTTCTACAGTTAACCTTTTAATGATTGCTATTAGAATTAATGGCCACGTTTGCTACATAAAAGGGGGTCTTGGCCTCCAACTGGATCGTGGAGTGTATTTGAATAGCCTTCTAATGATGTAGTTGGATTAGTTTTTAATTGAAGGGAGAAAAATTCAATGGCTCATTGGATTTTAATATAGTCTAACGATTTTAGCATAAAATTAAAAATTTTTTTAATTATGATAGTCGATGTAAGACAATAAATCATCATATCTAACTCACAATTATAATTACATTTATATTTAAACACATATTTTATTATTAATTTTAATATCATTATTACATTATCTAATTTTATCATCATCGTTATTTTTAATCTTGTTAAAATCAATCTTATAACTCACTTAGATGACTTTGAGTGACTAAATTAACAAAACTAAAATTTGATAAGCCAAATGAAAATAAAAAATAAATTGTAGAATTTATTGGCTCGTAAGCTTATTCAAATTTTTTGGGCATGGCTTTTAACGTATATAGTTGGCACACAATATTCTAAATGGACCATCCAACAATTATAGTTCGGATTATCACTTAAATTTGAATCTTAAGAAAAAAAATGAAATTTATAGGATAAAAAATTACTTTCTTTTCATATGCAAAAAAAAAAACATAGTGGACATATCATTTTTTTTAATCACAAAATATCAAAGTAATCGGAATGATCAATTTTATTACTAGATCAAAGTTCGATAATCTAATTAATAGAAATTAACTAAGACTATCCTTAGTGATAATTAGTGATAAACTTGACAATGCAATTGACCAATGTGCATAACGCAAACTTGTCCATGGCCACGAACTAAACTAAATGATTTAGAAGTCTTATTTAAGATCTAAGAAGGTTTAATCTATCTAGTTTAAAAGATTTAATTTATTTAAAAATATATTAAATATTATTATTTTAAATATGTTTTAAAATTAAATATAAAATATAAAATTACTAATAAAAATATTTAAATTGAATTGAATTCAAACTTCAAATATTATGTCCAAACCCCTAAATAAGTTTAGTACATAACAAAAAAAAAAAAAAAACGAAACTAAAGAAATAGAATAGAAAAAAGATGGAGATAAAGATGAATAGATTCGCAAAATTTAAAAAACCATTAGAAAAGTGCTTGCTAGTTATCGCAAATAAATTTAGTAATTTATGTATTTATATCATATAAAAAAATAAAAATTTATATATTTATTTTATATTTTATATAAAAATTGAGTGTCATAATTTGTGTCATCATAAAAAAAGTCAAATACATTTTTTATTTATGTTAAACCCATAGTTTTTTTGCTAAAATGTTAATTGTATCATTTTTATGTCTTTTTTATACTATTTTCGCATCGTTTTTGGAATTACCTAATTTAGTTGCGAGTCAATTTTTTTTTTTTTTGTGTTTTATTTTATCTATTCATCATATTTTTATGTAAAAATTATCAAATCAAAAAATAAAAGATGAAAGGAAAGAAAAAACAAATGATGAATGTCTTAATCGGTTTTTTTTTGTCATAAAATTAATCTAAAAACTAAATATCCAAAACAAAAAACAAAGAAAAAAGTGAAAAAAGGTAAACAAAAAATAGAAAAAAAACTAAAAACAAGTAAAAAAAAAAAGTAGCTAATATTGGGTGCTATTTCACATCTCATATTGAGATTAAAATAAAATTTTTAAATTAAAATAAAAAATTCATCTTATTAATATAACACACACTGTGTATACATATATATATATATATATATCTAAAACTAGTGTACTTTTAAAAAATTAGCTCCACGAAAGAAACTTTTATAAAATAAAAAATTAAAAAATATAAATAAAAAAACTTAATATGTGACATTTAAAAGGCTTTAAATAAAATATTAAATTATTAAAAAAATCTATTACATGTAAAAATTAAAAATTAAAAAAAGTTTTGCATCGGCACGTATGAAGATAAATTTGCAACGTTTATATTTATTTATATAGGAATCTTTTATAAAAAGAAAAATTCATAAAAGGGCACAAGCTACAACACTAATATGCCCTTTGTCTTTATATTCATTAGTTCATTTCTGAATTCCGATAAACTTATTGCGTATATATTATTATTATATATATGAAACACACGACAGAGCTTTATAGATGAGAGACAGAATCAGAAAACGCAAATAAAAAAGTTGAGAGGAAAAGGAAAAGAAGAGGCTTCATTCCTCTCCAATTTTGAAGTTTAAATCTTTCTACTTTTGATCAACCTTAAGATTGCTTTTCTTCTTTGGAAGCTTCAACTGTTCTTCTAGCGTTGTTTTGGTAAGTGATTTCCCTCTTTTCAATTATTGATTAAATAGCTCTGTTTAATTGAATAAATCAAAGCCAAAAACACATTTTGATTTCTGGGTTTTTGTTTTTTTGGTGATTTTTTAACGTGGGTATTGATTTAAATGCCTGATCTTTTTCGTTTAATGGGTTGTTTTTCTTTTGGCTTATTGAAGATTCCAGGTTGTGATTTTGACGAATTTATGCTTGATTTTTTCCTGAGATTTTTTTAGGGTGAAACTGTTTAGCTCAAATTTTGAAGAGGAAAAAAAACATTGCTTGAAGAAACAAATGGTAAACTATGAAATTAAACCCTGTGATGGTTTTTGAATTATCCATGAAACATTGTGTGGGAATGGTTTGGCATAACTAGAAGGTTTATCTACACAGTAGAGATCAGAGGCCACAGGAACTTAGGTAGACCCTATGGAAAGAATTTGGCACATTCTTGTTAAAATTAAGTTTACAAATTTGGGTTCTAAAGCAATTAATGGTATAGTTTGAGTTTTTTTTTTTTTTGCCCGTACAACAGTGAAAAGTTTGAACTGTAAAACCACCACCGCCATGAATAAGGTATGTGATGGTGAGTCTTGTTCAAACTGGGGATTGGTGTAATTGTAATTGTTTCTGTTTACATTACTTTCTTAGGGAATAGAGTGGGAGTTAAGAAAATGCCAATTTGGTACATTAATTGTTGGAGTGAAATTTGCCATTTCCCTTTAGAATTTGGCACTTTCTTGTCAAAATTAAGTTTTCAAAGTCCAGTCCTAAAGCGTTTGTGGGGTATAGTTTGATTTTTGCCTGTACAATAGTGCATGGTTCGAAATATAGAACCACTAGCAGCCATGAATAAGGTGTGTGATGATGAGTCTTGTTCGGACTGGGTGTCAATATTATTGTAATTGTTTCTGTTAACATCACTTTCTCAGGGAATATAGTGGGAGTTAAGAAAATGCCGATTTGGGACATTGATTATAAGAGCCATTTCCCTTTATAATTGGAAAAATGACTAGTTTGTTAAATGCAATAGTCAGATAGGTCATTTTTGGTTAACCTTTTCTTTCCAGATGAAATATAAACTAATGTGAAGATATCTGCATTGATAAGTTTTCTTTTAAATAAAATATGATATTCCCTATATTCTGGCAAATTTTTTCTTTTCTGTCTCTTTTCTTGTTTAAAATTTCCCCTTTGTTATGCCTTTTCCATTTGTGATTTTTGACGAACCAGTGATGAACTGTCATTCACCTTCAACAAGATGAATGGATTCTCCACTGTGGATGGCTTTGTGGAGATAACTGAATCCCTGGCAGATATGATCAAGTATGTGGCGAATGAACCCTCAGTGGGCCTTTTCTATGTTCAACAGCACACCCAACATGCAGTTCCTAATGTAGTTAATCTCAATAATCATGTTGTCAAAAAGTCTCGTGAAGCAACTTTGCACACAGAGGACTTAGAAGATTCTATCACCATGGTGAGGTCAATGAAGGAGTGTGGCTTCCCCATTGCTGATGAGATGATTAAGGACATTAGGAATTCTCTAACGTTAATGTCAGCAAAACAACCAAAGAGAGGATTGATCCACAGTCCTGTTTCAAGCTTTCAGATTAGAAGAACTAGCTCTTGGGGACCAATGTCCTGGGGTCATGGTTCTGGAAATGCCCAGCGGGATGGAACTAATTATTTTTCAACTGTAATCAAGTCAGCAAGACAAAAGGCAAGCAATTTTAAGTGGCCACAACTTGAGTCCAAGGAACAGACAGAAACCAAGTCACAGAACCTGCTTCCACGTCCTGCCCCGCCATTATCAGTTGCATCTGCCAGCACTAGTTCAATTCCTGATACAGAAGTTGATGAGCTACCCTTATCCAGTCTTATGGCAGATGAACTTCATGAAGAAGAAGAAAAGGAAGAAACTGAAGATGATGTCAATCTGTCACGTCGCAATTTATTGTTAATGTCGGAAAACTATGATGATTTCAAGGTTGATAAAGAAGCTAAACTAGAACAATGGTTGGCAGGAACTGAAGGCAAAATGGACAAAAGTAAGGGAGAAAGTGATACAGGTGGGCTTTAACTTGACAGTTTTTGGATTGAAAAAGAAGCTTGAGCGCTGTAAATATTGTTGTTTGTTATAACAGTATCTCCAGAGAATGATTATATATTGTATGATTAATTGTGCGGTTTATTCTTTGATATCGAAATTAAATTGCAGTTTTCACTCACGCACTTGTAGACTGTGTGGGACATTCTGCAGTGGCAGGAGTTATATTTCCATGGCAAATTTCCACTCCATCAAACCATGAAACCTCCGCCATGCAGACATTGATTACATTACCGGACTTGTCTGCATCTTCGTTCATGCCTAAAGAAGCAGTCCAGGCTATGCTTTATAGCAAATTGGCCTAAGCCCAGAGCCAAAATGCTATTCAAGAGCGTTTTCTTATATATATATATATATATAAGTGTATCTTCATCTTAAGGAGAAAATGCAATGAAATAATAAAGAAAATAGAATGATACAAAATACAAATCTGCTAAAAAGAAAAGCAAAAACAAGATAGCCGAGTTGGAAATGAATAAATCTCCAGAAGTCATCAACATTCATGGACATCAATTCCTACTCAAAATAGGAGCTTTTCAAAATATTTTTGCAAATCCCATGGACATGCTATTTGCCTCAACTTCCTATACTGCCGGGTGTGCAAATAGCTATTGAAAAAATTTATGGTCTTCATGGTCAGGATGTGAGCTTAAACAATATTATTACCCCATCAGGTAGGGTAAATAGTTGGCACACATGTTGAGGTAGATATCAGTTAATTCTTATAAGTCGTCTTTGACCAGAGATTTTGATCGTGCCACAATCTTAAGGGAATAGAAAGCAGCATCTTTGCAAATGGTTTAATGTCACTGTCGGCATCAACAGCAGGTTCATCTTCTCAGTGGCATTCGTTGCAGATCACTTTGTCTGACGAGGTAAGGATGACCACAAACCCTGCAAAAGAATAGATGCATGTTCTGCTTCTCACACTGGGGTCTCACGGGAAAGCCTCGGTCATGAGAGAACAATTTTCACCATCACATCTAGTCACAACTGGCTTCATGACTGTTAAACAGTTTGTCATAGCCAAACTTTAATCACAAGAGTCAGAATTGCTGATGATACAGAGAAGTGATTCTGAAGGTCAACTCGATGCTGCAGCAAGTTGCAGGGACGTCTACTACAGGGAAATATCAATAAATGCATCCTAAGACCATTGCCAACATCTGGTCTTAGCTCAATGTATTTTTAACTTTCAGTATATAGGTTGGGAATAGAAAATTTGGTTGCAGCTTGTATAGCAACATTCTGAAGAAATCAGACACAAGCTCCAAGCATTTAAGAAGGGGATCTGCAGAATATTCTGAGGCTTAGGCTATGTCTCTGCTACTGTGAACTCTCAAGATTTTCAGGATCCATAAAGAATACACCCTCACATTCCCAGCTCATTCCTTCAATATCTCACCTTGATTTTGCCCTATTAAATGGAAGTTTTTATATTCAGATTTCCCATTTGAAAAATATTGACATATTATACAACAGACAGATGATAAAAGTAAATTTGGATAGAACTTATAATCTTGGTTTTTCCATCACAATTCACTTCAAATCAAGTAGAAACAAGTGCCGATATCGATAGTTCCCCCATAATTTTCCTAAAGAGAAAACTCTCCATGTGAATTAGGGAAAGACAGAACAAAGGCACAATTGGGGAACAATTAAGACATTTGAAACCACAATAGCAACCGACACCACAATAGCAACCGACACCAAAAAAAAGAGTTGATATTACTTCAGGAGTAGAAAGTAAACGAACAAAAGAGCAACTGGCATAATTAACTGCATGACATAGAATTGCACCAAAATAAATGAAACTACAGAAGGAAACTAGAAACCTTCAGACATACCTGAACTAGAGGGCTCAGGAGGAGCCTGCTTTATCGCTTTTATTTCCTCCGACGTGCTGCCATTTACTTCATTCACAATAGGAGGAGGAATCAACCCTTTAGTGTTGCGCACAATTTTAGCCCTTCTGCGGAAATAAGGACGAAGAATGAAGAAAAGAAGGATCAGGTAAAATTCCTTCGTTAATCATAAGGAGATTTTCAACATATATAAGAAGAATAGAATTAAAAGGTTTGGCTCTGACCTGATGAATTTTTGCTTTAAAGTGCCTGTTTTCAGCTTCGATGTCCCTTTACCAAAACCATAGAAATGTTATTTTTAGTGTTAAGACAGAAGTAGTTTTCATATTTTGAGATACAGGTATAAATAAAGGAATATCCAATGACTCTCACCTGATTTTAGAGCCAAAGAAGTCGAAGAGGGTTTTCGAACACCCCTCTGTGCTTTTATAGAAGCAATGATAGAATCAGCAGTAGGTCCCAAACCCTTCCGCCCCAGAAGCTTAATTCCCAGCCTTTCACACAGGTAGTTCAACCTCATCTCATCCCCACCTCTTACTTCTCTCAGCTCAAGTGCCTGTTGCTTTGATAACAAAGTGTAAACATGCAACTGTTGTTGCTGATTAAAATGTGACTGGAGCTGCTGAAAAAGCACCTTATTAGAATGTTGCTGATCTGTCTTTGAACCTTCCTGATTCTTCTTTCGGGGCTCACTAAATGTCACCCTCAAAATTGCTGGTGACTTTGGATCAGCATTCTTTCGACCAAAAATAACAGAAAAACTCCCGAATTCCAAATCAGGTTCTCTGAACAAATCCATAAGGAGGGAAGCACAAGAATGAGCATTATTCGATGGACTCCTGTCAATCTTTTTCTTTGCAGTCCGAGCCTTAGCAAATTGAGCCATATTTGCAGCTTCCCTGAGCCCTGTAAGAAAAGCTCCATGCATGGTAGCAGGGTATCGCCTTGTAGTGGCCTCCCCTGCAAAGAAAAGTCTTCCATCCCCCACACTTTCTGCTAATATATCATAGTCATCTCCAGATGCTCCCACTGCAACATTAGAGTATGAACCTAGGCTGAAGGGATCACCACCCCATCTGGTACAGACAGTTTGGAGGGGCTCAGGGACAGTGATTCCTTGTGGTTCATATATACCTAAATGCAATCATACAAAAAGCCTCAGGATAATTTCACATAACCAACAGCACTTAAAATTTTTGGACATAAGATATTAATCATTGCCAGTTAACATCATATATAACCAAAATAAAAACAAGTTAAAATGAACAAATATGTACTAGTATATTGATTAAGTTCACTTGATTGGTTCAAATACAAAGGACAATTTTCTCTTTCTTTATAGAATATGCACATAAGACAATGAGAAACTGCCTGCTGTTATTTACTATTCAAGAAAGTTGCAATTAAAATGAGCCACATGTCAATACATATAAAAGATATAAAGGAAAAAAGAAAAATGTATTATAATGTTAACCCTTTCTTTAGAGTATGTGAACATAACATCAATGAGAAACTGCCTGGGGTTATCAACTATACAAGGAAGTTGCAACTAAACTCAGCCATATGAGCAACCAATACACAGAAAAGATAAAAAATGCATCACAAAGTTAAATATCTGTTTTGCAGCTACTGAATGTATATCAGTATTTCAGACTACAAGACAGATTTCAAGCTTTGAAAAAAAAAAGAAGCTACAAAAAAAAGCATGTCAACACATGAAATTGAATTAATTACCCTTGAGAATTTGGAGAACCTGGGTCACTGCATCTGTAGGAGGCAGAGTCTCAAACCTATGTGCAGCTTCTCCTGCTACTAAAGCGAGTAAGAGAGGACCACCAGCAACTGTTGCATAGCTATAAAACAGAAAAAACTCCCCTCGATGGCTTGGATCTTTAGTAAGATGCCCAAAGGTATCAAGTTCTGTACCCCAAAAAACATAAGGAAAAAGCATTGCAACCTTATTCAACAACCCAAATCCCAACCGCTTTATCCCATCAAGCTTCCTCTGAGGCAACTCCGGAACAAACTTGATTGACCCACTCTTTAAAACTCCAAGAGGCACCGTACATAATGCCATATCACCTTCATACACGTGACTTCCTGCCATAACCTGCACCCCGTCACTGCCATACCTAATAGTGTGCACAGTTTTCTCATACAAAATAGGCACATTTTCTGCCAGAGCCTGAACCAACCTCCCATTCCCTCCAGGCAAGAAACAATGATCCCCTCCCATGTCATATGGATCATCTTGGTCCCAAAATGCAAGTGAAAGCTTTGAAACCAATCCGGCATTTGCATATTCTAGATTTGCAAGATGCCAATTGAACAAATTAATCTCCTCTTCGGTCACTGCATCCCTATAAACCTGTCTAAAGGTCTCTAATGCAGCCCCAAGTGAAACATCCATTGAAACCTCCCCCATTAACTGCCTAAGCTTACTAGCCTTATCCAAAAGCCGATTAAAAGCTGTCTCCACCTTCATATCCGTATCTGGATCCACCAGACTCCCATCCATCCGATAAAGTGGACACTTATCCCTCACCTTAAAAAGGGAAGCACCCAATTGTTTCGCCACAATCCCTAACGGATTCCCCAACGTGCCTGTTAACACACTCCCACCTAAATCCGCAGCTGCACTCACCCTACTTCCTCCTTCCATCTTCTTCGTATAAACCCTCCCACCTGCTCTCTTCCTTCCTTCTAAAACAGTCACCTTAAATCCAAACCTCATTAACTGTCTAGCTGCAGCCAGCCCCGCCAACCCGGCACCAATTATAACCACATTATTTTTAGTTGGTTCCACTGGGATTTTCTCCTTAATTGCTGGGGCAACCCCAAAATTTATATATCCATGTGTAACTAAATAATTATAAGCAGAATCTAAAAGCGTACTACAATGTTTTGGTATAGAATCAACAAACATGTCTTTAGTCACCCAATTGGATATATTTTCGCGCCATTTCGCAATAATGTGATTTCGAATGAGAATATAGTTTACCTGCTCGATGCCACCAACGGAGGAAACGACACCGAAGTCAATTTCTTCCTCGGTGAGAGAATCAGCAGGGAATCCAGCAGAAAGAGCGGTGAGAGCCTCTGTCGTTGATTCTTTATTGATCACGATGATCTCGTCGGCAATTTTGGTTTGTGCAGTTGTCGTCGCCGTTGACGATGAGGAAATCGAATTATGGTTAGGGTTAGAGTTTGGGAGGTTGGGATTGAAGGAGCCATTGGGGAAGGCAAGGAATTGAAACGACGACTTTGAGGCACTGCGTTGAGGCCTGCCACGTCGTCGTTTTTTGGGGACTGGGAAGGAAAGGAGGTGATCAATGAGAGGAGGAACGGCATTCGGGATAGGGTTATGGATTGGGATTGGTGTTGGAGTTGGAGTTGGAGTTGGAGTTGGGATTGGACGGAAATTAGGGTTAGGGGTAGGGTTTGGTAAAGGTGGAATAAGAGTGAAATGGGGAAGAGGGAATTGGGAGAATTGATCAGGAGTTTGATTTGGTGGGTTCATCTAGTTTTGTTTCACACTAGTTACCGAGAGAGAGGGGTGAGGAAAGCAGGAAACCGGTTGTGATGGCGGAAGAAAAGGTTGTGTTTGTTTCCTGAGAAAAATTCAATTGGAACCGCAATTTAAAACGACTTGTCGTTATGCCAAAAAAAAAAAAAGAGTCAGTTGTTACTAAACAAATAAAACTCCCTTTTTTTAGTAACCCAAATAAAAAATTTATTTTTTCTACTTTTCTTTTTTTCCTTTAATAATATCTATAACAGTATATAAAAATTATCTCCTCTTATCAATTGATGCCTAACTCATGTTTGTATTAAAAAATAATTAGAGAGATAATTTTGGAACTATAAAAAAGAAATTTCTCAAAGAAACTTTCTAAAGTTGAAAAAAAATGAAAGCTTCTAGAGACTCACATGGGAAAAAAAAAAGGAAAAGGAAAAGGAGAAAGGAACAAAAAAAGAAAGGGGAGGAAGGAATCAACCACCAACGTCCATAGGTGGCACTCTTCTGAATCGACCCACCAGTCAACCAAACTCCAAAAGGCTTGACCCTTCTGTTTAGGTAAGTCCGAGAGTTGTGCCCATTATAGCTGCAATGCAAGTAGCGACGTGTTAGTTTTCAAGGTTGGATAGGTTTGTTTTTGGTTCAGATCAGACGGGAAAGTAAAAGAGATAGATGTGAATCCAATATTTGAAAATACAAATACAAATCTCATGAGAGGCAGGGTTTTGCTTTTGAAGAAAATTTTTTTTTTATTTGGCTCTTCCCTCTAGCTGTGTTAGCAAATGAGAAAGAGAGAAAAAGAGATAAACAATATCCATATATCAAATTTTTATTGCAGAGAAAATAAATATGTAATTTTTTACAACGTTGACATTTGTATATGTTTTTTTTTTTTTAATTGCAGAGAGAAAATTGTGAAAGACGCAATAAGCGAGAAAAAGAGGAAAATAAGAAAGGACGAGTAACTTGATTTTGACTTCGACAAGCTAACAGAGTTTTGATTCTTTGCCATGCAAATTAACACATCCATCTATCAGTACCATCCATCTAACTTATTTTTGTGATGCAATGGATGTTTTTGTATTGCTATGTGATGTTTCTATTAATATTATTAATAATAATTGTGTTTTCCATTTCATTGAATGTTGAGACAGGTTATCATATCATTTAAGTTGAAAAAATTTATTCATTATATACAAAAATTATTGATATTTAAGTGTAATTGATCACCTATATAAATTTGTCTCTTTTAAAATTATTTTAAGTCTAAGTTGAGGTCTCTAAAAAGAATATATTTTGATCTATATCATCAAAATTAAGATTTAAAAATTGATTATGAACAAGAAAGATATTAACACCCTTTTACATCTAAAATTGATATTAAATTAATTATATGTTATCTTGCTTAAGCCTCAATAAAAAATAATTTTTATCATGCAATAAATCAATTTCAATCCTTTTATTTATTTACAAAATATGATGATATAAAAATTCTATCAAATATCAAGTAATCATGCAATCATACAATAAATATTAAATCATACCATGCAAAAATTATCATACAAATATATTATAAAATTATATCATGCAATCATATCATAAAAATCATTCATGTAATTATATATAATTATGTAATAATAATAATCATATAAATATAAATAATGTCATGTGAATATATTATAATATAAAATGCCATGCAAATATATAAGCATGAAATCAAATATAATCACACAAATATATTAGTAATATAATCATGCAATTATGCACAAAATTAATATAAAAACATGCAATTAGATATCATTCAAAATTAATATAATATCATATTATGTAATAAGTATAAAATCATGTAATAATAATGAATGAATAAATAACCATGCAAATGGATATTTTACTAATCATACAATCACACAAATAAATAAATTAATAATCATGCAAATAGACATACAAATAAATAGATAATAACACAATTAACAATGTAAAACATGTAATTAAATATCTAATCATGCAATTAGTAATGTAAAACATGCAAATAAATATATAATCATGCAATTAACAATATAAATCATACAATAAAATATATAATCATGAAATTGACAATATAAAACATGCAATTAAATATAGTATCATGAAATTAACAGTATAAAATATGCATATAAATATATTATGCAATTAACAATATAAAACATGCAAATAAATATATTATCATGTAATTAACAATATAAAACATGCTATTAAATATATAATAATAATCATGCAAATATATTAATAAATCACACAAATATATAAATTGATAATCATGCAGATAAATTAATAATCATGCAAACATATTAATAGTCAGCAAATATATTAACAAATCACACAAATATATTAATCATGTAAATAAAATATTAGGTAAATAAATTATCATGCAAATATAATATTAATATGCAAATATAATATTAGTCTTGCCAAAATAAAAACTATGTAATAAATATAAAAATAAATATTATAACGTATAGATCCATGGACCTACCACTAGACATGACATGGATAAAAGGGAGTCGTCGGTAATCTTTTTTGTTTAGGTGTGATTGACCACTTGATTGAATCTGATCTACAAAACAGACGTTAGGTTCGGGAATCGGTTACACATAGGGAAGATTGTAGCACCCTCACAATGCTCATCCAAAGAATGGTACCAGTTTGATATCGAATTATCCAAACTTCGATTATTTTTATGATTTACCAAATAACTTAATATTGAAAATTAACCTTAAAATTATCCTAATAGTTTGATAGTAATTTAGGATAATTTTTTAACCTTAGGAGTATTCATGGAGATTAGTGTCATACTTTGAAGAGATTCCATCGTTGGATTTATTAATTTTATTACCTAAAGAAAACAGTAAACCTTTCAATTTTTTTATTTTTTATTTTGAAAATATTATTTACAAAGATTTTTTTGAAGGATTTTTTTCTTTTTTTTGAATTATTTTTTTCCTTTCAGAAATACCGATGGTAGGAATAATTCCTTCTTTTTTGTTTTTTTCTTTAAAAAAATAAAACAAAAAATAATTAAAATAGAATAAAATAAAATAAAATCAAAAAATAAAAATAAAATAGAAAAGAGAACCTACGATCGGGTTGAGTCAGAGCGCGGGTCAACATGCGGGTAGTCGAGTCTGCGCATGGATCTTGGCTTATCCAAAACGACGTTGTTCGATAGCAATATAAAAGCCAAGCTTCAGCATTTTTTTCTCAGAATCACGCGAGCCCTTCTCTCTCTAAACCGATTTTTCTCTACCTTCTCTTTAGAAATGCCTACTGAAAACTTCAATCGGGATTGAAATCCACTAGTTTTTGGAAAAGTTACTAGAAAATTCATATAAAAAAATTGAAGGGCCTGTCAGTTTATGAAAAGTTGGCCAGATTTTGAAAATTTTGCCAGAATCTCATCAAAAACTTTAAATGGCCACAAAAAAATTCATCGAAAATTTCATGTTCTTCCCAAAAACCTAATAAAACCTAGATTTCTTTGATTTTTTTCTCAAATTTCTCCAAAATTTATCTAGATTATTCCCAAAAGCCTTCAAAATCTTGATTTTAACCCAGAAACTTAGAATCAAACCTCTAACTTTAGATATAATCCAAAATCTCAAAATTGAACCTCCCAGAGCCCTTTTGCCAAAAATTTTTTAGCCCTTTTTCCTCAAAATTTCTTTCAATTTTTTTGTGTGTTTTCATGTGTTCATCCTCTGTAAAATTAGTTCCAATTTATAGGTAGTCTTAAGATTAGTTTAAGGAAACAGATAGAATCAATCTCAAGCTTGAATCTTGGGATTGAATTCTGTCATGACGGGATTTTAAGTCTTAAGATTTTAGCAATCTCATCTGATATGATTTGGCATTGAAATTTTGACTAAGTTGGATTTTGATCTCAATTCTATTTTTTTTTTGTTCACGTGTGAATTAAAACAAAAAAAAGAAAGAAGAAAAGAAAGAAAAAAAAAGAAAAGATTATTATTATTATTAATATAACAATGATATATACTAAAAAACCAAAGAAAGAAAAGGAAAATAAAATAATAATAATAATAATAATAACAATAATAATAATAACAAAAATACAAAAAAAAATCAATCCAACTAGGCCTAGGCACAGATGGGCTTAATGGGCCTAGACATGAATGGGCCTAATCGAGACCTGGGCACAAATAAGTGTCTATAGCTACCTCTCTTTACATATTTTTGTTAAATAGAGATGATGCAAAAACCTAAACACCCACTTTGTTCTAATCAAATTAGCGAGTAAAACTGATCGGGGGTAAATATCGAGTCAAAAGTAAAGTGATCTAACTTGAGCTAAGATCGAGTGACTGGGACAATGCCGCAAGTCTGAAAGTGATATGACCTAAACTGAGATTAGATGACTAGGACAATGCTGTGATCAAAAGACTAAAACGATGTCACGAGTCTGAAGGTGACCAAGATCGAGTCGAGGTTGTAAACAAATGATCGAATTGGTGTCGCAAGTCTAAAAATGATCTGATCTAAGTCAAGGTCAGATTATTGGGATAATGTCGTGAGTCTGAAGGTGACCAAAATCAAGTCGAGATTGTAAATAAATGATCAGACTGGTGTCACAAGTTTGAAGATGATCTGATCTAAGTCAAGATCGTATGATTAGGATGATACCGCGAGTCTAAAGGTGACCAAGATCGAGTTGAGCTTAAATGATCAGATTGGTGTTACGGTTAGAAGATAATCTGACCTAAGTCGAGATCGAATGACTGGGATAATGTCGTGCGTCTAAAGGTGACCAAGATTGAGTCAAGGTCATAAATAAATGATCAGACTAGTGTTACGAGTTTGAAGATAATTTAACCTAAGTCGAGATCGGATGACTAAGATGATGTAGCTAGTCTGAAGATGATCAAAACCAAGTAGAGGTAGTAAATAAATGGTTGAATTGATGTTGCGAGTCTGATGATGATTTGACCTAAGTCAAGATTGGATGATTGGGATGATGTCGTGAGTTTGAAGGTGACCAAGATCGAGTCGAGATCATAAATAAATGATTAGATTGGTGTCGTGAGTCTGAAGATGATTTAACCTAAGTCGAGATCGAATGACTGAATAATGCAAATGAATATT